CATTTGCGCACTTATTTATGAATACCTTTAAACTCAATCTAAAATAAACACTAACCTTATCGACCTCCCACCATGCAGGATAAAGTTTAGCTTGTCCATTGCCCAACGCAAATGATTCATCTCGTTGATTCTTCAAGTGAACTGCGTTAAAAGCCGTCGGCATTATTGTATACCGTGTATTTCTTTTATTTTCCTTAAGTTTCCTAATTATTAGTAGACGTGACACCCACGCATCGATATGATGTTTTACAAAAATACATATAGTGAATTACATTAATTTTTAAACAAATTAATCAAATGAAATATAAGAAAAATATAAGACTTACCCCTCCATCGAAATAGCCATTGTCTTCGACCCCTAATAATACGCCCACCAAGACCGATCAAGCAACAAATAGATATCATCACTGAGCTTGCATATGTCAGTGAAACACCCCTGGCTTCGCTCATGTAGATAAAAATCAACTGCGGTCTTAGCCCAAAGGGTGTTATCCAGAATTGTGTCCGGTAGTTGTTTCCTCTCCTCTTCAGATACCGGTATGGTACTGGCTGGTAACTCATACGAGAGCCAACTTGAATCCATCATGTCCGGCACGTCAGAGGGTTTCTCAAGAATCCTACATATGACGCCATGTGAATCGGGCTCTTGAATGGTGGGAGGGACCTCTTCAACGATGACAGTGGCCTCTTGAACGGTGGGAGGGACTCTCGAGGAATGATAAGGGCCTCTTCAACGATAGGAGTGGACTCTTGAGGGATGATAGGCGAGTCGGGCTTCTTCTTGCGGTGTCTTCGCACTATTGGGGTATACGGAGACTTAATAGCACGTGCACGCCGTCTGATGCGTGAACTCTGTCGTGCAAGAAAAACCCGACGTAAAGCATCCACCTTATCGGTCCGCTAAATAAAAATACAAATATCAGTAATAAACAGACATGATATTTAAACAGTGAAAACAAAGATAAATATATTTCAAACTTTCAACCAAAAGACAAAACAAAGACAAATACTAACTTCACAGTGTTAAAGTAAAAAGTTTAGCAGTTTTGGCAGCAACCGAATAAATTTACTAAGCAATCTAAGTGAAATGGTTAATTTAAGTGAAATTACGAGTAAATTTATCATCAAGTTAAATATGGAAAATCTTAAACTTACCTCGTTGCGTAGAGTATGAACTCATTCTGCAACGATACTACCATCTCACGTAGAGCGCAACCTCACCACGTAAAGTAGACACCTCCACACGCCATGCACCATCGTTATCGCGTAGAGTACCGATCTCCTCACGCAAGGCATTGACCTTATCACGTAACTCCCTTGACTCATCCCGTGGAGGTGGAGAACAGGGAGATAGAAGTCGTGGCATCTTTGTCGGTCGCCTATCATGAGGTGATGGTGGAGAAGAGACTCGATGATGTGACGTGATAGGTGAGGCTCTCGTTGTAGAGGTGTATAGTCGGGTCGATCAGGTGATGGCTCTGGGTGAGGTGATGGCTCTCGAAGTGGAGGAAGTGGAGGCTGCTCATCATTCGTGCCATCAAAAAAACGCTGACTAGCTTGCCACCAATCAGTGGCAAGCTCAGCCTCCGTGGGTGTCAGTCTCATTAATGGAGTGTTGGCCTCCTAAAATATAAAAACTAAAACAAAGTTAAACGTCTACTATTATAATGTTTTATATGATAGTATTTGTGTTAACTTACATTATTTATTGTCGCATATGGTATTAAGTCTTCCCAATCCAACATACGTTTCCTCTTCCAGAAATAACCCTAGGAAATCATCTGAGGATTTTAATGCATATGTCCGCATGCTGGGAAAGCCTCGATATCCAAATCTACAAACATTAGTAATTGTTAAATAATTAATTATAATTTTGAAACATTATATAGAAATTCTTACCTTAAAGGCCCAAACAAAGCCTGACAAAGTGTATTTCGACCCATCGCCCCGCAAACTTTTGCGGTCATCAAAGGCAGACGACAACTTAGTCCAGGTAGCTTTCCATATATACGAACCCCACGGAAAACAGATTCCATGCATTTAGGTCCTCTACCAATAATATTAGCTCTTGAGGAATAGGTTGTCTGGCCTCTCTGCCTAGAAAGCCGGCATACAAAGTAGTAGAATGCATACTACAACATCGACGTCATTCATCCGAGTAAAACCATCTTTCTTATTAAACAATTTCTTCATGTCGTCGACGTGTAAGTTTGGCTTCTCTATTGACTCATCAGGAAAAACCCTGGATAACCATGATGGGCGGGTGATATGACGAGTGTACCGGCCTACATCATCGTGTCCGAATCGTAGACCAGTGATTAAGCAGAACTCCTTCCGCCCAAAACAAGTATACGCCGGTGGAAAATGAAACCATATCTCTTCCTCACCACGTTGTATACTGTCGGGTAGATCGCTAGTCATGGTCTGAAGCCACAAATGGGTCAAACTAGCATCTCCACCCGGATGCTGTACTCTCAGCCATGGCCCGAAGCAGGTTTCTTCAAACAATTTTCTTTGTGCAGGTGAAAGCTTCGAAGCAATTGTAGTGGCTAGGCTAACTTTATTCCTTAATGTCAATGAAGCCGAAAAAAATTTCTACAAAAAAACAATAAACATACCAAGTTAGATATACCAAAAATTACACTGTCAAGATATACAAAAAACAAAACAATAAACATAAATAGTAGTTTATTCTTGAAACTAAAATTTGCAACAATGTTTTTGTCTTTTGGTCGAAATAAAAATCGTAACGAGATAATGAGAATCGCAACGCGAAAAACTATCGCAACGAGAGAATCGCAACGCGAAATGACTATCGCGACCAGACAATCGCAACGCGAAATGAAAATCGCAACGCGAAATAAAAATCGCAACGCGAAATGAAAATCGCAACGCGAAATGAAAATCGCAATGCGATTTTGGTTTCGCGTTGCGATTTTTATTTCGCGTTGCGATTATCTCGTTGCGATAGTTATTTCCGCGTTGCGATTTTCATTCTCGAAACTATTCTTCTTCTGCATTACTTCAACCAAAAGACAAGCAAGACAAATACTAACTTCACAGGCTAAACAGTTTAGCATATTGGCAGCAATCGAATGAATTTAATAAGAAATCTAAGTGAAATGGTTAATCTATTATTGAAATTACCAGTAAACTTATCATCAATCTCAATATGAAAAACCTAAAATAATGCAAAAATTTCAAAATAAAAATAAAAAACTAACCCTCGGAGGTTGATTTTCCATTTCTGAATGATTGTGAGGGATTTTTGACTGTGAATGGTTGTGAGGGATTTCGCCGGCGATGGGGACGGAAATCTTCGGAGATGGGGACGGATTTCGCCGTAGAGAGTGAGAGATGGAGATAGGACTGAGTGTTGTGTTTTTGGGTTTGAGGTTATGAGTTGCGATTACTGTGGACGGTTCATTTTCCGATTTATTAAGAAAAAATACGTGTTTGGAATTTGAAAAAAAAAATACGCGTTAATACGAATGGCGCTATGTAAATCGCGTTGCGAAAGTCAGTATCGCGTTGCGAAAGTAAGTATCTCGTTACGATTTTTTATTATCGCATTGCGATAGTTAGTATCGCATTGCGATTTTCCCAATTCGCGTTGCGATTTACTTATTCGCATTGCGAATTGGGAAAATCGCAACGATACTGTAGACCATCGCAACGCGATTTTCAACTATCGCATTGCGAAAATGCAACGCGAATTTGCGATAATGGAGATCACGTTGCGAATTAGCGATCGCATTGCGATTTTGTTGGTCATTTTGGCAAATCCGGAAAAAATTGGTTAAAATCGTATATTATATGGGATTTTTGGTCACTGAGGTTATTTTCTCTTATTTTAATCTAACAAAAAAGTCACTCTAATTATAGCTAAATATACTTTTCTTTATCACTATTTAATTTGATTTACAAAATATAAAATTATTTTTCAAGAATATAATTTTTAAAATGTAATATTACATAATATATTATTAAAATTAGTACATTATTTGATTTAGTTGTTATTAGTTTTTTTTTAACAATTCGTACCTACGAGAGGGGTAATGAACTGAGAGCTTTTACGTTTTAGTTACATGTTCTAGTGATTGTTGACATTTATTTGGTATGATTAAAGAGACACATTCGAAATTTCATTATAAAATAGACAGAGCTCGTTGAAATCACTTTGAGGAGTTTTATACCTTAAATGCTTATATAAGATGAAATGAGGATAGGAAGATTATTGGAATTGATTTAAAACATGTTAGGTAAATGCTTATTAGAATATTTAGTTTAGAAATTTGATTTTGTTACTAAAATAAAATGTTAAGGAAGAATGAAAATAGAAAAGAGTATGTTCTATATAAAAAAAATATATTATTTTAAGAGTAATACGATCCAAAATGTTAGAAATTATTCATTAACAATGAAACGGGTAGGCACTTGTATTATTCATCAACGGTGAGTGACTGATTTGTTACAAATCATAATATTGTTGACCAATTTATTACTTTTAAAATTTTAATGAAGAAAATAAAAATTTACTCAAATATTAATGATCATTTATGTAGTTTTTCTTATAAATTATTTTCTTGTTCATATTATGAACGTAATATTATCTGATAATAAATGAAATAAAATTAAAATTCATTTAGATGTAACAGAGTTAAAATTATGAAAATTATTTAATGCAGCCTGATAACCTGAACTTATTAGTAAATTTTAAGATTTTATTTCAGTACTTGTTCAAAAAAAAAATTATTTCAGTAAATTGCTAAGGAAACGTTGCATGTGCAGAATTATACGCTGTTTTGTCGATCATGTGATGAAAAAGACTTGATTTTGAGTACAGCCTGAAGGCTCCAAGTTGCTCCCACGTTTCCTTTGCACCATTTGCGGGCTCACTCTTATCTCTATATCTCTATCTACAATTCTCTCAAAAGAAAAAGGCTTTCTTTCTTTTTCTTTGTTTTTTTGCAAAAAAAAAAAAAACAAAAAAAATCAATACCACCATCTACCAGTGTGCTTTTTTATTTCAACATTTTAATTTTCTTCAGCTTTTGGAAATATAGGTAAGCATTTTCTAACACTTGAGCTCCTTCGTTTTTTTCTTCTCCTTATTTGCAAAGTTTCGTCCATCCTATAATGCTGCATTTCGATTATTATTAACAGTTGCATTCTCGTTCTGGATGTTGCTTGGAAGTGGGAACTCATTGTTGTGATCTCTAAAATTGAGTTTGGTGATCTGGGTTTTTTGCTTTTTGGAGGCTCTGAGAGTTGGGGTTTTTTCTCTTTTCTTTTGTGAAGTTTGGATTTTTGAGGTTGCCGGACTGTGCAATCTTTGTTGAGATCACGAAGGGGCGTTGGTTGATTGATTTGTTGGATCATTTTGTATTGGGTGTTTTCTTTGTACTTTGGCCAAAGATCTTTGATAGGCATTTAATGGCTCGACTTTTGCTATATTGTGCTGTGGAAATCATGAATAAATATAGTTTTCTGGAACAATAAGAGATTTGGATGTTGAGAATGTTCTAAATCGGATATGAGATTGTAGGGGATATTGTAGTGTTGACCATTTAGAGAAATATGAGTTCAATTGTAACTTCTGTAATTTCACCAGCTTCTAGTGATATCTCGCCACCACCAGCACCTCCTACCTCTTCCTCTGATTCCTCAAGCACTTCGCCATCCCCTACATCATCTGAGCCAAATCAAACTACTGATCCCCAACATCCTCACCACCATCAAATTCGTCATCCCCACCACCTCAATCCCCTCCTCCAGATGTCCCTACTGCTCCTACTCCATCACCACCACCAGCATTGTCAACACCGCCGCCACCAGCTTCATCTCCACATCCATCCCCTCCGGCATCCCCACCTCCATCACTGCTAATATCTACTCCACCTGCTGATAATTCACCACCCTCTCCGGTTTTATCACCACCACCAACTAAATCAAGTGGCTCTCCTCCTCCACAAGTTGAACCAGCACCAACGGTTGTAACTCCACCTCCACCACAGATAATCTTAGGTTCCCCACCTCCTCCAGCTAATGTTCCAACACCGCCCTCCCCAAAATCTCCACCTTCACCACCGCCACAAATAATTTTTAGTTCCCACCTCCCCCGGTTAATGTTCCAACACCGCCTTCCACAAAATCTCCACCTTCATCACCACCAACTGAAAGCTCTTCCACACCTCCTCCTACACTTACACCTTCACCATCTGGCTCTAAGTCTTCTCCTCCCACAACGTCTCCCGCAACACCCACATTATCGTCCCCACCGACTTCGGTTCCCTCAACCTCCTCACCACCTACAGTGTCACCTCCAGCTACTCCAAGTACTCCGAAAACAACTGTAAGTCCTGGTTCAGCACTTTTGCCCACAATTCCAATAGAAAAACCAACTGCAAAGTCAACTAATGGCGTATCTGGCAATGCAACATCCTCTGGTAAGAGTGGTTTAAGCACTGGAGGGGCTGTGGCAATAGGCATTTTTGTTGGGTTTATTGTGCTCAGTCTTCTTGTGATGGCTGTGTGGTTTGTTCAGAAAAGGAGGAAGAGGGCTGGACTAAAAATTGGGTACACTGTGCCTTCTCCATTTGCTTCATCTAAAAATTCAGGTAAAAAAATGAAACAATGCTTAGGGGAGCAGCTTTTTTATGTTCTTCCGTTGGTTGTGAATTTTCTGAATTCAATCTGAGAATTAACTTCATTTCTTCCGTGTTTACAGGATTAATTTTGAAATCCTCAGCAATACTTATTTAATGGTTAAAAAATCCAAAAGTCTTAATCTGAAATGGAAATTTCTCTCATAGTAAGCCAAAAGATTTTGTAGAGAATGTAATACCTAAATTAAGATTATTATTAGAATTTCAGCCAACTTTATACGTCTATCAGCTGCTAACATTGAAGTTATCTTCTTTTTTTCTTGTGTAAAAGTAAAAAGGGAATGATTATGGGTTTTTTATGTGGGAAAATTGGAAAAACTCAGAGTGAATGTTCCATACAAATATATAAATGTTATTCTCAAGTCGCATATTACTTGGGCCATATTTCAATTCCTTCTTTTGTTTTCATTTTTAACCTTGCTATAACTGAAATAATGTTGTATAGTGATATTGGAACTTGCTCTGCAGATGCAGCCTTTTTAAGACCCTGGACTCCACATCGACTAGTGGAAAGTGGTTCTTACAGTGGTTTTTATTCGTCACCAGAGCCTGGTGGGGTCAATAATTCCCGGTCATGGTTCACATACGAAGAGTTAATCCAGGCAACAAGTGGGTTTTCTGAACATAATCTTTTGGGTGAAGGTGGATTTGGTTGTGTATACAAAGGTATCCTCACAGATGGCAGAGAAGTGGCAGTCAAGCAGCTAAAGATTGGTGGTGGACAGGGGGAGAGGGAGTTCAGAGCAGAAGTTGAGATTATTAGCCGAGTACATCATCGCCATTTGGTTTCATTGGTGGGGTACTGTATATCAGAGCATCAAAGATTGCTCGTCTATGATTATGTCTCGAACAACACCCTTCATTACCATCTCCATGGTTAGACTTCTTCTGATCTTAAACCCTTAAGAAACATCTGTCTGGTTAACTATATCTGCTTTTGAGATGTCAGATATAACTTTGAGTTCAAAATGTGAAGGAGCTTGAATGACATATATGCATGATTATACGTCAACTGATAAAGAGGACTCTTATACCAATTTTGTAAGAGGATTCCTTTCCATTAACTGTTTCGGCCCACTGCTCGAGATCCTCTCTGAACTCAAACTCACATGCATATGAGTATCCACCTACACATTGAATCTAAGATGAGGGACAGAAACATGAAAACTACTCTTTGTGGTTCTCTTGACATATGGTAATGTTCTAATGCAATGCACTTTTATGAAATTTTGCAGGTAGAGGTCAGCCAGTTATGGACTGGGCAATACGAGTCAAGGTTGCTGCAGGTTCAGCTCGTGGGATAGCTTACCTCCATGAAGACTGTAATCTACTTGTTCTTCTTTCTTTTCTTTGCCCCACTTTGAGACAGACTTATGCTTCAAACCCTTAAAATATAAGAATAAGAATAAAAGTAGAGTTTAAACAACATAAAGATCTAGGTTTCTATGCTCTTCCTATGATATATTCCATCATTACATCATTCTCATTGTACCTTCTTATGCAAGATTTCTTAGAAATTTTATTGCTTCAATCAGGCCATCCTCGCATCATTCACAGGGATATCAAGTCATCAAACATTCTTCTTGACAACAATTTCGAGGCTCAGGTATGCCATTCGTATTACTAACATTTTCTCAGTGCTATTCTTAGTACTTATATTGGGGTTTCCCCCCATTATTATAATTTCCCCTTTTACACTCTAATTTCTGCCCCTCAATTCATGCTTCCATAATAGGTTTCAGATTTTGGACTAGCAAAGTTGGCATTGGATTCAAATACTCATGTGACCACTCGGGTGATGGGAACCTTCAGGTAAGAAAATATGTCGTTTTGTGATACATCTAGTGGAACTGAACTTACATGTGCTTATGCACGATTTTGTTGTCCCCATATTGCATAAGCATGATCCATTACTTTTGTACTTTTTATCTGTTTAGAACTTCCCCGCTGTAAAACTTACCCCCAAGGTCCATATTTTAAATGCATATTATCACTTTGATATATCTAAAGCACATTGTTGCGATTCAAAGCATTTAATATCCAATAATTTTTAGATGTGACGATCTGTTCAACTGTGCACTGTACTTCCATTTTCCGTTTTATTTGGTCAGCAAACATGTAATGTGTAATAATAAAATTATCATATTCAGGTTTTCTGATTAATGAATTTTTTCTTTCACAGATATATGGCTCCAGAGTATGCAACAAGTGGCAAGTTAACTGAAAAATCCGATGTTTATTCCTTCGGTGTTGTGCTCCTGGAGCTAATTTCTGGACGCAAGCCTGTTGATGATACTCAGCCCCTAGGTGATGAGAGCCTGGTTGAATGGGTAAGGCTACACAAGTAGGTTTGTGTTATCAAAAGGTTTCATGCGCTTTGTTCGGACTTGTTCATAAGATTTAGCTTTTCTTTAAGTCTTACAGTGGTTGAATAATCAAGAATCTTTTGATCTTTTTCTAATAAAATCTGAAATCTGGTGTAGCTTCGAACAAGGATTTCCAAAAGTGCTACACCTAATCGTTATTACCTTGATCATTTCTTTATCTAATGCAATGGAACCTGTGGCAGTGTTTCAATGTCAACTGTTTTTAAACTATTCAAATCTTGTTACTTAGGCTCGACCATTGCTTGCTGAAGCAATCGAACATGAAAGCTTCAAAGAGTTGGTGGTTCCAAGGCTGGGAAACAATTATGTGGAACATGAGATGTTTCGAATGATTGAGGCAGCTGCCGCTTGTGTGCGACATTCAGCTGCTAAAAGACCAAAAATGAGCCAGGTAAATATGTTTTCAGAGTGCGGTAACTTCGTTTATTATAATGTTTGGCTTACAGACGAAATTCTTCGACATTTACTTCATAGGTAGTGAGAGCTCTAGACTCATTGGATGAGTCATCGGATATCACGAATGGAATGAGACCCGGCCAAAGCGGAGTCTTTGATTCGGCACAACAATCTGCAGAAATCAGGTTGTTTCAGAGATTAGCTTTTGGCAGTCAAGACTACAGTTCTAGTTACTTTAATCACTCTCAAAGCAGTTGGAGAAGTCGAGAATACGGTAGTCAGGATAGTTGGAGAAGCCGAGAGCACGGGAATCCAAGCGGCCGGAGTCAAGAGCATAGGGACCGTAGCACCTTAAACCCGTAACAACTCGGACAATTTCAATGGTATCCGAACACCCCAGATTGAGAAATCAGATGGCATCAAAGTTTTAAAGGGGATAATGCCTTTGCCTTAACTCTCAAATTTTGGGTAAGATTTGAAGATTGAAACATCATGGAATCAGGTTTTGCTGCTCACCATATTGTGTAATGTTTGATCATTAATTTGTTGCTTTTTAATCATTCCTTCTATTTATTGTATTTATTAATTGTATGAAATTGATATTTTTTCATCTTATTATAACTTATGTAAAATTATTTTTTAAGGAAATCTTTTAACTTTTGGATGAGGATCTCACGGCATCTATTTCTATTGTATATCATTACTTTAATTTTTTTTAACTGAATTATCTATTAAAATATAGGATGATGCTGTCACTATTGACGAGTACAAATGAACATCATTAATAATAAACATCATTAAATTCATTTATAAAACGTTAAATTATTAAATATTAAACGTATAATTATAAATTAGTGGTGGGATTTGAACCTGAGATGCAAGCCAAAAAATTAAGTACCCTAATTACTAAGTTGGACCACTAAATTTGTCTAATATACAAAACATAATTTATATAATTTATAATATAGTTAATGGTAATAAATGAACTTATAAAGACTCGAACATGAAATAATTAATAAATATTATAATTGATTAATAAATGAATATGTTTTATTTATATTTTAAATCACATTTAATGTAAAAATTAAAATAAAAGTAAATTTAATATGTTATAATTGAAATGTATCATTTTATATATTTTAAATTAATAAATTGTCTTCATTATTCTAATTTTATTGAACTGAAATGTATCATATCTTATATCTTAAAATATTATAACGTCAATTGGATTCTAATCTTATTTAAAAACTCTATATTAAAATAGACTAATTCAATAAAATCAAATTTCCCCTAAATTTTTCTTCAAATATATAATGAATAAATAATAAAATATAAAATTCTTACTCTAACCGGATATAAACAAGTCAATGTATAAGTTAAAATGCTTACTACAATAAGTTCTCAACTATAAAAAAAATTCTAAGTCAACGAAGCTCTTCGTAATATTTTAATTATAATATATTAAATTTTTTTTTTAGTAAAATGATATAAAATATAAATAAAAACATTCACGCATTAATCAATTATAATATTTGTGTATATATATCATATTTGTGTATTAATTATATATATTATGTCATGATAGATTTGTCATTTGAATGTTACACTCAGTGGTAAGGGCGTTTTCTTCTTCTCTCCACGTCTTAGGTTCAAACTGCGCCAGTAGTGGTTATTGATTCAATTTATTTTTTATTTATTTAATTGGTGACATGTGTCACTATTTGATTGGATAAAAAATAAATTGAATCAAATAAAAATATTAAAAAATCCAATTACATATTAAATTGTGAGAGGCACATTATATTGAACACACTTTTGGCAGAGTTTAATAAGTCTCGGGTGTGCCAGTTGAAGGTCCAACTCTTCCTGTGGTTACAATGGTGCAGGCTTTTCGAGAGTGTGGTATAAAGCACTGGAATCTGAGAAAATTAGTAAAGTGTTGAGTTTCCATGGGAGATTAAAAGAAGGGTCCTTGTATTGCCACCTCAGTAAGTCACTAACTCTCCTTAGCAGGCCGATGCGGCATACTGCTGTAATCTATGCTATGACAAAGCTCACCTGAAGAAATGAAACATACGTTTAGTCAGACAACTTGTTTATTGTTCTGTTTGCTGTCACTAGCAAGGCACCTGTCTAAACAACAGCCGATCCTTTTCACTAGTGCACCGCTTTCTCCATCACGAAACTCCAAAAACAGTGTAAAAGACTGAATACTCGGGAAATGCTCCACCATATAAGCTCACGTGCATGCACGTAAAGCTAAAAATTAGAGTGATACAATGGAAAGACTTTGAATACCATATTTTACATATATTCAAGTTTGATATACGTATTTAATATATATATATATATATATATAATACTAATAATAATGGTTTTAGTGGGAAGATATCTTTAGAACCCGAGAGGTTTACGTGTAGGGACAATAATCAATGAGGATAAGATGTTGGCTAAGGCCAACTGAAACTTGTAAAAAGAAGAAAAAAATCTTACAGATGAAGGTGGAAGTGACTTGGCGAGTTCAACACTCCTGATAAACCCTTCCAAATTCCGATCACAACCGGCGTTATGGCTCGTATCTCGACGGCGTAAACAAGCATCCCTTTGAAACCAATGTCGTGGACTCTCCTAACGCAGTTGGCCGCATCCTCCGTGGTTTCACCTGCTCAAAAATGTTGAAAGAAGGTATGTTTTACGGTTTTCAAATTTCAATATGGCATCACGTACAAAACTTGTTTCCATGAGTCTGGAATTCATAACCCACATGGCGAAATCGACGAAACGCTCATTGGAAGCCAACCCGAGGGTGGTCGATGAACGTAGGAGTTTCAAGGTTGAAACCGAAGCGAAAAGCTTTTGGTGATCATAAAGGTTGAGGGTTGTGGTGGTGGTGATAGGTTCGTTAAGGGAAGTCAGCTGTTTTACGAAGTCATTGGGTTCAGGCTTTTTGTCGAAATTGAGGGGTGAAACGGCGGCAATGGAGGCGGTGGAGGCAGAGTTAAGAAACCTGGTGAATGAAGGGAGGTTGTTGAGGAGCTTTCTTGAGAGAAACTTTGTTGTCATAGAAGGGAGCGACCGGACATAACAGAAGTCTTGGTCTTTAAAGGAAATTTTTTTTATATTAATAAAAGTATGAAACAAGGTGGGAATATATAGAACAAAGTAATAATTTTTTATAAATTTAATTTAAATTAATTAAATATTAATGATGTAAAAAATAATAGGAAAATTTACAAGTAGGTGACTAAAAGGATAAATTGTAGCAGGTTGACATGTTGATGACTAGTAATGCAAAGTTTCTATCTAATTTATTAACCGGCAAAAACGTTTCATGGGTCTGTCCCGTGTTATATCTGTTACCAATTTTTATGATAAACTCACATTTAATACCTCAAAATAATACTTTTATTCTATTTTAAGCACTCAATTATTTTTTAAAATTTTATATTTACCATTTAGTTTTATTTTGGTCACCTTGTTAAAACATTAACGGTGATAATGACGTGTTACCATAAGATAATATCACATTATTATTGAAAATAAAATAAATCACACTTAACTCTTTTAACATTTTAGTCGAGGATGATGAACAATGACGGATTTAGAAATATTTTTCTATGATGAACGTATATATATATATTAATAATAGAAATTTTTTCGTACAAAAAGAATACAAATAAAACTTTAAAATAAATATCATCAATTAAACAAGTAACTAATAAAAAAATAATTAAATATCAACCTTGAATAATACATGCATCCGCTATATATTATCACTACCTTCCGATTAATACAAGGCAAACCTTCTGAGCATATAATATAGTACCGATGATCACTATGTACTACCACGATGTTTTCTCAACTGCCTGCAATGTCCAAACTTGGAAAACCTCGTCACACTGCTAAACGTAGTCTGTATAAATTCGGTACATTTCCACTCGTTTCTCCACTGCAAACAAACAAAAAAACAGAGAAATTATAATCTACCCTTCTCCTAAATCAAAGATGTCGAAGGCAGAGCTTGTTATTCTTGACCATTGGGTTAGTCCATTTTGCATGAGGGTGAAGATTGCCTTGAACGAGAAAGGCCTTCAATACGAAGCTCGAGCCGAGGACTTGGTCGGCAGCAAAAGCGAGTTATTACTCAACTCCAACCCCATCTACAAGAAAGTCCCCGTGTTTCTACACGACGGAAAACCCTTGTGCGAGTCTACTATCATCGTTAACTACATCGAGGAGACCTGGTCTTCCCCTCCGCTACTCCCGCCGTGTTCGTATGGCCGAGCTCAGGCACGCTTTTGGGCTGATTATATTGACAAAAAGGTATTTGATGCGTGCGGGAATATATGGAGAAGCAAAGGGGAGGTAGCAGTGGAAGCTAAAACGGAGTTTATAGAGATATTGAAGGAATTAGAAGGTGCCTTGGGGGACAAGGATTACTTCAATGGTGCCACGTTCGGATTCGTTGACATCATAGCAATCCCTCTGACCTGTTGGTTCTTTGCGGTGGAGAAGATCGGCGGGTTTAACGTGGCGGATTTGTGTCCCAAGTTCTACGGTTGGATGAAGAGGTGTTTGCAAAGGGAGAGCGTGGCCAAAGTAATCGCAGACCCTGAAAAAGTGTACGAGTTTGTCTTAATGTTCAGGAAAATGCAGGGCATCGACTAAGCCTTTCCCCTTCACTTCCAGCAAGATACAGTAATAATCGAAGGGGAAACAAAGTAATCACAAATTAATGTCTTCTTTTCTAATTTGCAAACGCTCGCTGCTTTTACCTTGTCCTGCCTTTTTTTAGTAGTTCTCTTTTCAAATGAAATTATGACCAATTACCAGTTGGTCTCGAGGTGAAAGACGAGAGTTAAAATCTTAATATTACGGTGGGAATGGATTAAGTTAAAGAGGGTTATTTTATAAAATTAGATATTAATAATTGTATTAAAATAATAAATAAAATTACTTTTATGACTTACAATATGTTATTAAATTTAATAAAATATTTTTTCATTTGGGTTAAATTTGATTGGGTCTAGTGTGGTTAAAATATAGTTATGCCTTAATTCTTAATAATTTGAGTTTAATAAAATTATGTGTTTTGGATGTTCGATTCACTTGAACACCGTTGTTTGCAGCTGCTATATATTATCAACTTCATTTACTTTCTCCGGTGATCACGATGATCACAATTTTATATTGTATATGCATACATGTCTGTTTATCTTAATTTTAAAGAATAAATTTGATCACAACAGACACATAAAAAAAACAAAGTAGTAATAGTTTAACTGAACGAGTAAAGTATCACACAAATCATTTTTATTTTGATTTGAATATACATCCATTTAAGAATCGGATCGAATCGAGGTACGGCTTGGTTTGTTCAAAGAAACATGTATGATCCCAATCCCAAAAATATTTGTATGCTTCCTCCATCCGGAGAGAAATTTTCATCCCCAAAACATGTATGGCAACTGTGAACATGTATATATATTTGTATGGATTTTAGGGTTTTGATTTAGCATGAAGGGTAACAAACTTTCTAAAGGCATTTCCACTAATTGATATAACAAGATGATGGACAGTAGCATATGCAGATGTTGGCACCACACGTTGATAAAATTTGAATATATAGTTTCTTGTAGGCATTAAATGCTTTGAACCCCCTACATTTCTACCATTGCAACCAACAACGTTGTACCACCACAGCTTTTGTAGTTTCCTTCACCTAAAATCGTTTATCCTCTATATTATTAAAATTAAAATTAAAATTTTATATTTTTATTTTATTTTTAATATAGTAATAAAAATAGACCCTTGAATTTGTGATTAGAGGAAAGTGATGGACTTTGGATTACCCAAAGTCAAAGTTAAAGTAATAATTATATTCTCTGTTTCTGACAATTGTTTTCTATATTTACTCTTTGTTTTTTTTTATTTCACTGGAAGTCCACCTGTTGATGACTCCACCCTATTAAAACTATAATGGAGCGCTATCAATCGGTACTTGTGACAGCGACCACTGGAGGATGGTCGCACATGCTCTGCTGTCGTATCACACCACCTCATAGACGCTCCAGATTCTCCCGTACGGATGACCCAACGGTCCAGATTGTCTCTCCTCCAAGCTCTTTAAACTCTTATCTCTCTCTCTCTCTCTCTCAATACTTCCTGCTGCTTCAGCTTCAGTTTTTGGTGGTCCACTCCCCTATAAAAACCACTTTCTTCCTTACCCTTGTTTTTTTAGTTGTTTTGGCTGAGTTTTTTTTGTGATTTAAGAAAACCCCTTACCCTATACCCATGGCGTTGTGATGGAAGAAGAAGAGGAAACTCTTTCATCTTCTCCTCCTTCCTCCACTTTCCGGGATTAAGATCTAAAATGGGGTTTGCTTTTTCTTTTTTCTTTTATTTTAAATTTTTAGGGGTTTTGCCATTTCATGTGCAACGATTGCAGTACGAGTGAAAGGTTGTGATTTGTTGGGTTTCTTACTTTAATTTAGAATTATCTTCTTTCGAACCAGAAATTAAGGTTGATACTTGATATGAAGCTTTCAACATCAGGCCAGGGTCAGCGGCAGGCTAACGAAGGTATTTTTTTTGTTCAAAGTTTTTTAAATATGATACATTTTTCATGTATCTAAATTTTGTTACAGATGCACATAAATTGATTTATTTGATCATATTTCTTCATTTATTCAAATTAACGATGAATGAACAATGATTATTAGGGGAAAACAAGTGCTTGAATCCTGAGTTATGGCATGCCTGCGCTGGCCCATTGGTTTGTCTACCCACCGCGGGGACCCGTGTCGTCTACTTTCCTCAGGGTCATAGCGAGCAGGTCTTTTTTTACAAATAAAATAAAATAAAATTATACGCAATCAAATATATCTCCTTTTCTTTCCGGGTCATAAGTGACGTTTGTTAGTTCCAAATACAATGGAAAATGTGATCAATTTTCAGGTAGCTGCCACCACTAACAAGGAGGTCGACACCCACATTCCAAATTACCCCAACTTGCCTCCTCAGTTGATATGTCAGCTCCACAATGTCACCATGCATGTAAGTTCATTCCCTTTTATCTCTCCATTTTCAGTCGTTCAATGGCTATAGAGTTCAAACATTGCTTATGCATGTGTTATAATTTCAGGCTGATGTTGAGACAGATGAGGTATACGCCCAAATGTCACTGCAGCCTTTGACACCTGTAAGAAGCATGGCTTTCTTCTTCACTTCAATATGTAGTTTTGGGTTTTATTTTATATGTTCTCTTTTGCCATATAGGAAGAGCAGAAGGATACGTATCTTCCTATGGAGTTGGGGATTCCAAGCAAGCAGCCGACCAATTATTTCTACAAGACACTGACAGCAAGTGATACTAGTACCCATGGTGGTTTTTCTGTTCCTCGTCGTGCTGCTGAGAAAGTTTTCCCGCCACTGGTAATCTATGACTTATATATCTTCTGCCTTCGAGCCAGTTTCTTAGTGCTGACGTGTTTATTCTTTTTTTGCAGGACTTCTCCCAGCAGCCACCAGCTCAGGAACTTTTTGCAAGGGATCTACATGACGTTGAGTGGAAATTTAGACATATATTTAGAGGTTAGTTTCAACTACTGCTCCAATCTAAGCATTCTCATAGCTTATAATCACGTCTAGGTTATTTGTTCTTTTCTCCTAAACCCTCCAGCCCACCTCTCTCTTCCAATATTTAAAGAAATAAATAGTTCCTTTTTTTCTTTACAAGTTAATTATTGGTGTCAGTGGGACATCGGACTTATATCCGTGTTTTTGTTTAATGACATTTTCTTTGATTTTGGTTAATAGTACCTAATAGTTCAAAAAAGGGAGTTAACTGAGTCATATACGTTGTCTACTATGCAACTTACATTTTATTTAAGTTTTTCAGTGCCTGGTGCATATGGTTTTAAGTCATTTTATCTCCCTAGTTTTATGGTTGTCTTTGTTTCAGAGGTACGGTGCCTTTGCTGTATTTCAACCTGGCACTAAGCTAACTTTAGACACGGTAATGATTCACAAAAGTGAAGACTGATAGGTTGCTTTTTCTAGCCCGTATTCTTGAAACATCAACTTTCAAATGTAGAGAGGCATCAAAGCCATAGATCAGTAAGATGCGGACACTCTCAGAAGATCAATGTTCAAGTTAAAATTTTATGATGCATGCTTTAAGAGAATATGGAAGTTACTGCCACTTGTTTAGTTATCATTGCAATGTGTAATTAGAACCGGTATAAATTTTCTCCTTAAATATTGAAAACCTTGTAACTAAGTGGTTTATCTTGGCAGGGTTTAGGACTGGGAACTAACAATTATTAAATAAATTTCTAAACTCAAAAGTATATCAACTGAGGTTTACGTATCCTAGATTTTGTTCTGAGTTGATTGACTAATATATTTTATATATTCAGGCACGCGACTTTAGTCATTAGTGTATTCACTTGATATTTTCTATAATGGTTCTTTTTGTGCCTGTAGGGAACTATGATTGGACCGTCTTTTTGTAATCTGCTTTAGACTACTATTTTAGTAATAAACTAGATTTTCTGTTGTTGGACACTAAAACTATTCATCTAAGACTACAACTATGATTTTCTATTTAAGTTGATGTGGTGTCACCCGACTTGCAGGACAGCCTAAACGTCACCTTCTTACTACAGGCTGGAGTGTGTTTGTTAGTGCCAAGAGACTTGTTGCAGGGGATTCTGTTCTTTTTATTTGGTATTCATATTCTTCTTTTTCCTAATCATGCTGCTGAATAATTTTTAAATGGTACATTGCATTATTGCCATATATTGTCAAATTTTGTAATTAGGAATGAAAAGAACCAGCTTCTTTTGGGAATTCGCCGTGCCGCTCGCCCACAAACTGTAATGCCATCATCTGTTTTATCTAGTGATAGCATGCACATTGGACTACTTGCTGCTGCAGCTCATGCTGCTGCAACTAATAGCTGCTTTACAGTATTTTATAATCCGAGGTGGTGATGATTTCTTACCTCTGATTGATTCTTTATGTCTTATCTGTTAACAAAGTTGTTTTTCTAATATGCAGAGCAAGCCCATCTGATTTTGTGATACCCTTTTCAAAATATGTCAAAGCTGTTTTCCACACACGTGTCTCAGTCGGGATGCGTTTTAGGATGCTTTTTGAGACAGAAGAATCAAGTGTTCGTAGGTATTATTAATGGTTCTTGAAAGTCCATCTATATATTTTAATTAGAATTTTTTGCTGAACTTTTTATACGGTGGCAAATAACTTGTGTATATATTGAAGTGAAGCTGTTTTATGCTGATTACAATTATGAGGTAAAAGGATCATATGATAAAGAAGCTTGGTCCTTGTTTTAGTATTTGAAACTTTTTCTTTTTTTTACCTTAAAAATGGTTGGATTTTATTAGCTTTAGTAGAACTAGAGTAACTGTAATGGTTAACAAAACTTTGGCTATTGCATCATGCTTTACTAGTCCATGCCACATTTTTGTTATTATTTTGAACTTCAGGATAATAGGTCAAGGTTTCAACTTTTCTATTATGAGACTTCAAATATTTTTATGCCACATAGGAGCGATTGAGTGTTTTTGCCAACTTTGTTCTTTTTTCTGTCAAACTCACATCCGGTTGATTTTGTTTCCCAGCAACCCAGCCGAAGTTTGTTT